ATTTTTCCCTTCCTTCCATTCAGGAAAGCTGTTGAGTTTCTTAGCAGTGAGGGACATATATACTCCACTATTGATGATGAACATTTCAAGTCTACAGATGCTGACTAAGTTCTGACTGATTTATAATAATCTGGGTCCAATGTTTTATAAGATCCAAGACTGTTTTGCCTGATTTAAGTCTCAAAGTATTTCTTGATGGTGACACATAAGACTGAATGGGACATGGGCACATATCTAGAACAGATGCCTCTATCCAGCTGTTTTGTGGAGAGGGGGAATGCCATGGTTTAAGACTCTTAACTTTTTGTGCCTTTTTCGGTTAATGGAATCCTTTAAAAAAAGTATTTTTTTACTAATATGGCAGTAGTTTATTTGCAGTAGATATTCAGTCTAGGATGATTTACATTTCACAGAAATTCTGGAATGTCAGGATGTTTTAATTTTGCTCCAGCTTCTGTTTTCTTCTGACTAAATATTATACTATGCAATTTTGTACACCAGAACCCCCATAACTTTGTATAATTACACTATGCAGTCTTGTACAATATTGGGTTTTTGTCTAGCTCAGAAATCATACTTACATAATTATGTAATTTAATTTTGGGATGGATTCTTTCACTGCAAATAGTAGGTTAAGATTTATTCTTAGTTTAACAATTTTATTTTAAATTCAGGAGCAGAATTAACACATATCCTGGAATCTGATTTGATTATTCATACAGAAGTGTAACAAGCACATACAGGGACATAAATGTAGATTACATACTCAAATTCTGGCTGAGAATGTAAAGATTTTTGAAAGTTAAGATGAAAATGCTAACATCTAATACATGTAAAAATATAATAAAATCTTGCTGTTCTGAAAATATCCTTGTGTGATAAGTCTCAAAATATGTTAAAAGAATAATGTAAAAGCTTGGTTAGAATTGCAAGACCAAAATGCCACCATTTCAGCTCCAGGGATTCAATGATAGTTATTAATTTCTTATGGTTATACCTTTCAAAACACATGTTCTCTTTGATTGCTTCTCACTGAAGTTTAAGTCTTCCTAATTGTCAAAAATTGGAAGGTAGATTTTTTTTAAAAAATTGAATTCTATGGTTTTCCAGAACACTATTTCTTAGATTTAAAACCTGCCTTTCCTCCATGAATTCAAACAACGTATTTACCTCTCTCGTCTACCCCCCCATGTCCTCAACAACCACCCCATGAAGAAAATTGAACTGAATGCTTTGTCTCAAGTCACCTGGTAAGTTTCCATGAATGAAAGTGTATCTTCCTGTCCAACTCAATATTTGAACCTTTATTGTGATGGAATGTGTAAGGAGATGGGTTCCGAGGACGGAGGGGGTGCATTCCAGAGTAGAAAGGCAACACAGTTTGGATGTGACGTGTGAGAGGAGGCTGAAGATAGCCCCTCCCTAATAGTTCACAGAATATATGGTAGATACAGATAGACTGCAGTCTGGCAAGATTCTGCCTATAGATGTGGAAACATTAAAATCACTTACTTGGGAATGTGCCGTTTTTGTGTGTCCACGTGCCATTTTTGGTTTCAGACATGGAAATTATGTAGGACTGTCTACATGCATCTCAGTTGTTCAGACCGAGAGCATTTGCAGCAGTGCAAAGTATCTTGGGTTGGCCCAGATTTTAAATAATTTCTCTGCTAATACTTTTGCATTCTACCACTCTTCTGGTTTGCCCTTGTCCTTTATCTTTAGAAGGGAAGATCCCCCCCAAAATTCCCATGGTATTGAATTACTTTATCAACAGCCTTATCAACAAAAATTGGTATCCCATTTGTAAAAAGTAGAATGTTTTCTGCCCTTTATGAACTACCATTTTCATTTTGAAGCAAGACGTAACTTTTTCACATCTGGCACACAAGTACTTCTCCATACATGACATCTGTTCCAATTTCATATCACCAAAACACTTGGATGCAGAATATCAAAAGACATAATTTTTACCAGTAAGAGGAAATCAAATATGACCTTGTCTCCTTGGTTTATTCTGGCTGGTAGGGCTCCTGCACGAATATTCTAGTAGAATATATCCCAAGACGAGATGCAGATGTTCTAAAGTACGGCAGGAAAAGATTAATCCAAGAAAGGATTTAATCCAAAATAATCCTTTCTAGACTTCCTAGAACAGGGCTTTTCAACCAGTGGTACGGATACCACCTGTGGTACATTGGCACCTGGTAGGTGATACGCGACCATCCTAGAAAAGTGGTAGTGGGGGAGGAGAATGAGCTGAACCGGTGGCAGCACCGCACAAGTCTGAGTGAGAGATGGCAGGAGCTGTAGGGCTGTCAGGGCTCAGCGGAAGCGCCAGGATCAGCGCCAGGCTGTGCTGGAGCTTGGCGCTGATCCTGGCGCTTCTGCTGAGCCCAGAAGAAGCGCCGATCAGCTGGAATGTTGCAGCCTCTCCAGGGTCTTGTGATTTACATTCAGATGCTTGGCAACTGATTCATATTTATGATGGTCACAGTGTCCCAGGGTCATGTGAAGTGACCAAAACCTGATGCAACCACCCAGCAGATGGGCTTTAATTAATTCTCAGAATTAATAATAGGTAGTCCTTGTTTAGTGACCACAATTGCAATTGGCAACGCAATCACTAAGTGAAGCAGTCACCAAGTGAAACCATGACTCTGCCTATGAACTTACTTTATAGCTTTCCTTTTACACATCTGTGAAGGTTGTAAACACAAGGATTGGTTGTAAAGTTACTTACTCATCATGTCATAAATGATTGTTAAACAAGGACTACCTGTATGCATTCAATATCAGTGACGAAGAACAGCGTGGGACTATTACCATTATATTCCACTTGAAAGCTTCCTAGAAGCATTAGTGCAACAGAGTGTAATCCCACAAAACACTTTCATATTCCTTTTATGATTTTAAAAACATTGTACACTGCTTTAAATATTCTCATTAAAGAAAGAGCAAGGTTAAAAAATATTAAATAAAACGGAATGGAAATTAGGCAGGGTAGTTTTTACCATGAAATCTGAAAATACAAGTTAACTCTCCATTTGGCAAAACAGTCATTTAATTTACAGTATAATAAATGTTACAGATAAAAAGCTCAACAGTGTGAAAAGGCCTATTACACAAATGTACAAATGTCTGTACAGAGCCCCACACACTTAATCCCTCCCCTCCCTGCCCCAATTTCAGCCAAGCTTGGCTTCAAAGAACTGAAAAGACAAGTTTGTACTATCCCAGGAAAGTCAGGGGCCAATGCCAGCGCACAGTAAACTCCCAGGAGATGTGTTTTGCAAGAACCAACTACTTTTTCTTAAATCTTACTTTAAAATCAAGCAAGGGAAAGTTCAAGTGTTTTAAATTCATCGCAACTTGAGCAGGTACCCTCACAAATTAAGAAATCATTCCACAGCCTTGGGAAAATTAATAATCCAGAGAGATAAAATTGCAAATGAAATGAGAGGATTTGGAGTATAGGACACAAAGTTCATTAGTCATTAGCAATTTCTTCCAAGAATTATGTTACCTAACATAATTTTTTAAAATTGCATTTTTAAGAGGCCTAACATAGAAAATGAAACAGAAAATCAGATAGTGGAGAAGTATTCATCTGCTAAAGACTCCAATATGATATAATCCAATATACCACTGGGCGGGGGGGGGGGGGGGAAGCAGTTGTTCAGGTTGGGCAGAGACAACTACAAAGAATTATTTGGCCCATTTTGCAGGAAGATGCAGTTTTGGATAACTGCAAAGTTTCCAAAATGACAACGATCTTCTATCTTAGCTCACTCAATTTTAATAAATATCACCAATTTTAATTGGGGAAAGAAAGTGATATGGTTAATTTCCCCAGTGAAATCTATTGGACAAAGTGCTTGAACACATGACACCTGCCCATTATTGTGCTACAAAGGATTGTGAAGTGCCCCTAAATACCCAGAGTCTAGAACATCATATGGGACAATATTCCTCCAATTTGGGGATACATTCATACATTGAAATCAATGGCAATGTCTTGCTCCAAATATTTGGAACAGGAATGAATATCTTTAGTTTTGTTTAGTTAAAAAGAAATTAATTACAGAATGATGGAGCTGAGTTTAAACAATGATTTTTTAAAAATGCAGTTTGATGTGAGAACTTGGCTGACCATTCTTGGGCTCAACTCCAGGGTTACCCCATTAAGGAACTGCTTGGGGAAACAGCATTAATCTTAATTAATTAATATGGTATGTGAAAATCATACAAGATTATTGCTGAATATTTTTACTTCCTGGTCCATCAACATAGTTAAATGTGGCTATTGGGTAATTCTTGTTCTGTTAAGGATTGGTCATAAAATCTAAGTTTTACTAAATCTGAAATGGTCATAATCTTTTCTCAGTGGTTCCAATCAAGAATGTCAAAAAGCAATTAATTCCATGACCATTTCATTTGGTTTGCAGTCATCAAAATGATGGTAGTTTACCTTGCAAATGCAAAGGGTTCTACCTATACTAAAAGCACTTCATAATCCTGAGATACAAAGCAAAACATGGTATTTGATTTATATGAAAACTATTACAGACGTGCTTGTCAAAATACTATGTAAGTGTCAAGAAATTCTGCTGGGGCTGGGTTTCTTTTGAGACCAGTTGACCCAAAAAGAAAAGAAAAAGAACTGGGACACTTATCAGCAGAAAACCACCTGCCATTTCTACAGCTGCAACATAAACACAAGGGCAGTGCCCCTTAAATGCATGAGTAATGCCAGAATAAAAGTAACTGGGCAACTGTAATGTCTGGTTAAATGAAAAAGAATCTGCCAGGTAATGTGGTTCCACAGGCAGTGAGAGAGATATTTTTGCATTTCATTTCTTAGACACCTTTTGAACTCTTCTGAAGGTTGGTTGTGTAAGGGAGTCACAAAACCCCACAAAACCCGGCTATGACCCCAGTCTGAGAGTTGTGGCTGCACTTGTACAGTTCCCCCTTGCCCGCCTGGCTTCTGGCTCCTGCCTCCCGGAACAGACTCAGATTGGCTCTTCAGATCAAGAGAGAAGGGGTCGGCTTCTTGCCTGGCCATGCTTCTTTTGCGTATTTCTTTTTCTTGGGCTCATTCACAACTTCAGGATTAAAGACGGCAGGGTTGGGAGCTGGGTTCATGGCAACAGTGGAGGGGGCAACTGGAGTCAAGTCCACGTCTGGGGCAAGATTAGGATAGGGCATTGGTAACCCCCCAATGAGCGCTGTGCCGTGAATGGTGTGGGTCTGGGCACCTGCCTCATTGTGGGTGGGAGGCAGGCCTCCATACAGTCCTCCACCATAGGGAAAGTTCTGCATGCGACGTGTTGCAGCCTCATCTACAGCCAGGGAGCCAGAATTGTCCATCCGCTTCTTCTGTCGAGAAACAAAACACATGGAATTAAAATATGGCCCAAATACAAAGACATTTAGTAGAATCTGTGCTTTTGTGAGGAGGTGGATCCCCAGGAGGGAGGGGGTGCGTGCCAGAGGAATAAGAGGCTACTCAGCCCAGATATCATATATAAGAGGATGAAGACAGCCCCCCCCCCAAAAAATAGTTCACAAAAGTACACTGTAGTTCAGGAATATCCAAACTTGGCAACTTTAAGACTTGTGGACTCCCATGGCTGGCTGGGGAATTCTGGGATTTGAAGTCCACAAATCTTAAACATTGCTAGGATTGGACACCCCCCTCTGTAAATGCAAATAGAGTCTTCAGTCTAGCAATATTTTGTCTATAGGTGTGAACAATAAGGAACTCAGCTCGGAAGAATTAACACATTATTCTTGGTTTTGGGCCTGACAACTTTTCACTTTAAAATACCAACTCCTCATTGTTAGCAGGGTTAAAAACAGAATTAGGTCATGAATTTCAGTTCCCTCCACTTTCCATTTTTATCAAGTCAAATCTAAACCTATTCTCTCACAGTTGTAACCTAGCAGCTAAAACCTCACACAGAACTATTTTAATTCACAGCTGAGAATTTGGTTCTCCATGAATCTATTTCTTCTTTAAAGTTAGCTAACCCTGTGTTCAGTGCTGTGTGGGTAGAGCTTAATTTTTGACTATTACTGAAGAAATACTTCTTAATTTGCACGTCAAAGCAAGCTGTGAGCCATGGAAATGAATCTTGATTAAAATGTCTTCCTGGCTATGCAGAAAAGGAAGGGAGAATGAGGGCAATGATCTATGTTTCTGCAGTCTAGTAACCAAGAAAAATGGTTGTTATATAAAATGGAATTCAGAAGCTTTTCATCTGGATGATTTTTATATTATATTTGTTATTTCAATAAAAGATTGCTGATGAATTCATTTTTTTTTCTGTTCTATCAAAATCTAATCTTATTTCTTTACATACTAATACTGACAGTATATTTGTTCTGATTTAGCAGTAATAAGAACCAAAGTGTTTAGTTTAGGCCCATATTACTTTAATAAAGTAAAGAGCCATGTCAGCTTTATGTTTCTCAATTCAGTTACATACCTTCACTGGAACTACTGCAGTCTGTACCATGTTTCTGAAACGTCCAACAGAAGGGTCCACGTCCTCTATAGGAGTACAAGAGATTGAGGTATTAATAGTTAATCATAAATGAAATCTCAGGAGTATATTTAACGCTGAAGGAATTTAATACAAATCTTTTCAAAAGGAAAGGCATTACCATTATCTTCTTTAGGAAAATATCTATATATTGATAGATGCTTACACACAAGTAACAAGGCAGGCAACTTTCTTTAGGAACAATATATAGTTCCACAGGGATTGGTGATGTGGTACCGTCCAGATGATTTGCACTATAATTGCAACTCTTGATCATGATAGCCAGAAGGGATGAGTTGTAATTCTAACCATCAGAAGGGAATTGGGCTGCTTATTCCTGGCCCACATTACTCACCTGGGTTAATGATTTCATCATCATCACTGAATGTTACTCTTGAGTTCTTTCGTTTTCTTTTTGGTCTTTGGATATCCAAATTCCCTTCTTCTATTGTCAGTGTGGAAATCCTCTTGTTATGGGCCGTATTGAACTCTGTCAGGTTCTAAGATGTCAAAGAGAAAGATTGCTATTGCAGCACAGGTTAAAGGATTAACAGTTTGGGGGGGATGAAAACTGCTATAATTTCCTACTCTTTTGTGGCAGTGATCTTATGACATCTCTGGAACAGACAGAACTTGATCCTTTTGTGGGATTTACTGGGGCGGGGGGGGAAGAGGCATTGTAAACCTTGGGGGGGAAATATCCTGGCCAAGCTTTTGGGGAGAATATTGGAGTTTAGAATATGGCAAAGCTTTAGGAATCCATTCTGATTCTTAAAATCTGTCACCAAAGTGTAATTTTGAAAAAGTCAGCCCCACCTTTTTTTATAGGGAGTACCACTTCATTTAAACTCTAATCAAGAGGAAACCTCAATAGGGAATTAGAGCAAACTTGAGCAGCTCTTGGCTTAGCCCAGGGGTCTTCAAACTTGGTCCTTTTATGGCTTGTGGACTTCAACTCCCAGAATTCCTCAGCCAGGCACGCTGGCTAAGGAATTCTGGGAGTTGAAATCCACAATCATAAAAGGGCCAAGTTTGAAGACTCCTGGCTTAGACCAATAAAGAAGATATATATCCCCAACTAAAACAAGCAACAAGAATCTGGTTGGAAGAATTTGGTCACTATTACTTTTCTCTTCCCTGGGGCAACAATAGCAAATCTGTCACATAGGAACCTCTCTCCCCACTTTTAAGAATAGCACAGTTTTACTCAGGTGCTCGTGCCAATCACCGTTCAAGCCAAAAGGTCTCTGTTCCCTTCACAAACTAGATATGCAACATGGGTACCACAATACAGGTAAAACACGGTGCTCACATCTAACTCTGTTTCTTCCTCTGGCAGACCAAGCAAGCCCTTGAGTTCATCGTCTTCGCTGGTCATTTTCTCATCTCCTTTCACCGCCGAGGGCAATGTCTGAGGCTTTTCTCTCAGGGTGTAGGCCCGCGTGGAGGCACCAAAGGAAACCGTGGAATCAATGGGAATCTGTTGTGGCTTATGAGGCTCCAAACGAATATGGCCTAAAAACGTGCCGTGTGCTATGCATTTTAGAATAAGGAGGAGAGGAAAAGCAACAAATACTAATCATGTTACTAAAATATTACTTAAACCATAGTCCCTTTTCTAAATTTCAGTGTGTTCCTCCCTCTTAAGCAGTGCTGCACTGTACACCCATTGTTTATCAACTTACTGCTGTTGAGATCTATAAGAAAAACTCTCTTCAGATGTTTATGGTAGACCAAAGCAGCATGGACCCTAGAGCATGACTGGTGATCTATGGTAAAGTCGCACAGGTCGGGGTTTCTCCCAAAGAGATAGTATTTCTTCTCATCGATGATCAGTTTCTATAACAAGATATCAAAGACAAATGGGTGGATTTTTTTTTATTGGGGTGTATGTGGGGGGAGGCCTATACTTTCTTAAAATCATGGGCCTGGGTATAAAAAAGGGGAGAACCTCATTATGCCATGAGAAGAAAAGGCAACCCAAAAGACTAGCAACTGAAAAATGTGCCACTTGTGGATAAGCCAACCCTTAAAATTTTCATGTTTTAATTTTCACATTGGCTTACCCACAGGTGGCCAGTTTTCATTGTATTTTAGTTAAAATTTTGAGGGTTGGCTTATCCACAAGTATGTACGGGTTCTTAAAAAAAATTATACAGTCAGATTACAATAGAATTGGGACTAGAATTTCCATTGCTAAGCTACATGGTTATAAAGCATGACATCGTACGACCTCATTGCTTAGTAATGATAATCCTGGCAATCCCAGTTGCCATTGTAACTCTAGGACTGCACCGGTCATTAGTCAAGGACCTGGTATGACCATGATGTAGGAAGGGGCAGAAATCCCAGGCAAGTAAGCCAGTGGGTGAGACCTTCAGTTAAGAGCTACAGGAGGGCGGATGCACTATGGAATATGGGTGGCTGGGAAGATGCTGCAGGCAAGTGCTATGGAGCCCAGGTGTGTCAGTGAAGCAGGAGCAACTTGCAACCTCTGCTGGCTTCTCCACTGACTTCTCTTTTGTCTATCTGTCAGGGAATTTCGCAAATGGCAACCACATCATCATAACTTTTGCTGCTGGTCAAGTCCTTGAATTGTGATTGCATGACTGCAGGGATGCTGTGATGGACTGGTCGTAAGGTCCTCTCGTTCAGCACCATTAAAAATGTGAATAATTGCTAAATGAGCAGTCGTAACCCAAGGACCGTATGTTTGTGTCCATGTGTGTGTGTGTAGATAGTCCTTGCTTAATGATCACAATGGGGACTGGTAACTCCATGCGATTGCTAAGTGAAAGATCATGCGACCATGATAGATTTCTGTCAATTCTCATTTGGTTGTTAAGCAAGTTACCATGGGTTGTTAAAAGAGACATCATTGACTGTGACTTGAGATGTTACAGACTGTGACTCGGCTTGTTGGAAGCCAGTTGTAAAGCATGCTATTGATCACATGACTCTGGGGAGGTTAAACAGCCATAAATGTGAGGAGTGGCTATAAAGTTACTTTTTCAGCAGTGTTGTAACTTCAAACAGTTGTTAAACAGGGGAGCCATTAAGCAAGATCTAGCTCAGGGATAGGGAACCTTGGCTCTTTTATGACTTGTGGACTTCAATACCCAGAATTCCTGAACCAGCCATGGTGAGTCAGGAATTCTGGGAGTCATAAAAGAGCCAAGGTTCCCTACCCCTGGTCTAGCTGTATTTGCAGATAAGGCAATCCATGAATAAGTCAAACCCAATTTTGGGAGTGTATTTTGGAACTTAAAAGTCTTGGTTTATCTGCAAATAGATAAGGTAATTAATCAATATACAAATTTATTAATGCCACGTGACACTGCTTTTCAGCATGGGACAATTTTTACTATCTAAATGACAATGGTACCTGCAAAAAAAATAAATCAACTAACATAGTTGAGCAGCTCTAGAAACAAATATAATAAGGAAGCAAACTGATGTGGGAAAGCAGAAACGCTAATAATTTTTTTGCCATTCTTAAAGGCATCAACCACTAAAATCTCATTTGTGCCTCTGAGTTATAACCCGGTGTGATTCTCCACACATAGAGCTTAATCACTTCATGGCTTAACTTTGATGTTGCACTTTTTAGACCCAGCCAATCACTAGTTACACCTTTGAACTCTAAATGAGAACTAAGGCATAGATGGCTTGGTTAGTATCAAGTGCTTAAGAAAAAGCGAAATAGCACCATAATTTATAGTTACACATTGATAATAGATTCTGCTTAAGAAGTGTTCCATCCCACTTTTGGGATATTTGGACAAACCAGAGAGAGTTGTCAGAAAATGCATGAGTCATTTGCTCAGTCTTTATACTGCTCCCTTCTTTCTTTCTTGTCACACTGCAATTAAACCAGGAATGATTCAATTAATTGTAGCTTTCAATTACATCCAAATACAGATTCTTAAAGTAGTGGCAACCAAGGTTTTCTGGTTTGGAAGAGATACAGTATTGCAATAGAGAATGAACAATATAAGAATGAAATACCCAAACACTGTCTAACCAAAGACATGAATCCTGAAAATCTGAAATCCTGCAAAAAAACAGATTTCTGCACAAAAATAATCTGGATCCAAACAGTGATCCAAATTATTAAAACAATAAAAGATATGGGTGCACATTCACACCTAATAGTGTAAAAGCATCATTATCTTTGAATACTTGGATGCAAATAGTCAGATACCAGTCCAACAGAAAGAAATTCAGATGGCTTGCTAAAAATAGCCAAGACAAGCTGAAACTAAAAAAAATAAATAAAAAATTAGATATTCAGCCTTTCTTTTTGCCTGTGATACGTTCTATAGCTATCCAATTCTGTATGTCACCTGGCTCATATTTAAATTTTCTGCATCTATTTTCATACCTCAATAAGTTTGTCTCCTTTGACTACATCCAAGTGCAACCCTGGTGGAGGCTTTCCTGCCCTAGGAAACAAAAACAAGAAAAATATTTTGTTTAAGAATACTTAAAGTAGTCATTGGAATCTATGAAGTTATCAACAGATATAAAATGACCACAAATTGCTCTGACAGGGAAAACCTGAACTTGGGCACAAAAAGTCAGTTATGCTCAGCACTGATCCAAACATTTAGTTTAACTGAGCATTCGTGAGTACATTTTAGATATATAAAAAATTATGAATCAACGGCCTTAAGATGGTTGCCTCAAAAGGGGACTGAAAATTCATTAATTTGGGCCTACAAATCATCAAACCTCCAGTTCATTGGGAATATGATTCCAGTTGTTTGGAAACAAAACTGGTATGTCCTATTTATGGATTTCCTGGAAGCATCTGGAAGACCACTGTGAGAAACAGCATGAATCAGAATGATTACTTTGCCTTTTGGCGACAGCATCTACTTGGGAGAGATTATTTATTTACTGAATTCAGCATATCAGGAAACAAATTTATCTACAAATACAGTCTTACATATTTCTGTGATGTATAGGATTATATGCTTGATTTAGAGAGGATGTGGCTGTGAGACAAAACTACATAACATGACTACATAACTACATAACATCTCTTGCTCAGATTTTGCCTCTGCTACAAAGTATTTTAACTTTTGTGCTCACCCAAATCTGCTACAAAATGAAAATTAACAGCTAAAACTGTTAATATATGTTAAGCTTTTTGAACACTCAACATTTCAAATGCTTATTGCAGTTATTTTTGGATGCACATAGTTACCACTACATAAAAAGACACAATCTCCAAGGCTGGCGTCAGAGTCCCTGTTGTGTTCTGTCCTTAGTTAAGGTCAAAACAATGGGTATGATATAAATGATTATTTTGGTACAATATAGACTTTTTATCTTTGAAACACCAATCTCTCACTCTCTCTAAAAGACCTTGGTGGATATTGTATTATAAAATCCTTGAGCACATTTGCATTTTTAAGGCACATTTTGACAACTCTTCAACTGCTGCTTTAATCTCACTTTCACATTTTTTTCTGTAAAGTCTAGCAAATACACAGGGAAGACTATGATGGAAAAATTTAATAATTATTATTTAAATCACATAAGTGACACATTTGATAGCCTTCACTATTGTTATTAAAATGCAAAACCTTGCTAGCAAGCTGAAACTCAAATAACCTTTCTACTTGACAACTACTTTGATCTAAGGAATATATATTTGTATATTCCAGACTTCAGTCACTACTCTGTCCACTATTCAGATTTTTTACAACTGAGGCAAGATTTGTGTCCAGATTAAAACAACCCCAAATGAATGTCCATGCTGCCTAAAGCAATTTCCCCGCCACAACCTCATTTTGTAGGTTTATATGTAGGACTTCAGTAACATACCTAGGATGAAAGTATATTTTGATTTCTCCCAGGCTCAGAGATTTTAAAGAAAAACTTATGTCATTTGTCCATACTCAGCAGCCCTCTCTCTCTCTCTCTCTCTCATTTCACAAAGACCGTTCAGTAGCCACACAGCCTGCCCTTATTTATCATAGCGCGTCCTATACTGAACTTCTTCGCCATCCCTATTCTGAGGCACATCAATAAGCAGTAAGTCCTCTGCTCATGACCAGAGGCATCCTTTGAGGTGGAAAACATGTGTTCTGCCTAAGCTAAAAGCACTCTTTCTCTCCCCTCCATCCCAAGTATTTCACATACGAAGCGCGAGACTGCAACGCTCAAAGGACCAGTCCTGAGGATTCCCCTCAATCGGTTCTCCCTTCCAGGGGCTGCTACCCCCCCTCCCCGGGCCCGCTCCCCTCTTTTAGGATGCTGCTCCGCCTCCCAAGGAAAAAGCAGTCCCCCTTGCACAGCAAGTCGCTTCCCCGCTCTCCAACGGCACACGCCCCCACCCTCACCAGGTCGGACAGTCAAAGAGTGGGAGGCTACCGCCACCGCCGCCGCCACCGGCAGAGTTTGCGTTCGCCGCCATCTTGTGACTGCCCCCATTCAGCTGGGCGCAGGGCACGCCGGGAAGCTGGAAGACCTGGCGGGAGGGCTGCGATCCCAGCATGCATCGCGCCCAAGCGGGCAGCGGGCATGAGAGGGAAGGGGGGAGGCAAGCCGCAGAGGATGGAACGTATCCTATCTGAGCGCGAGCGCGGCGTTCGGGGTGACGTCACAACGACGCTCCTTTAAAGAGCGGGAACGCAGAGCCGTCGGGGAGGGAGGAGGCCATTTTATACTCGGGGGTTTCGAGCCGGCGGGGTGAGCTCGCCTCTTGTTTGGGCCGAAGTCCACGCACCTTCTCCTGCAATCTGTGGCGGTGTTGTTTTTTTTTTTCCCTTTCGGGCATTTTTTTCTTTAAAAACCTGCAGCTGTTCATTATTACATTATACTTACACGAGAAACGTGTACGTCACAAAGCGTCCCACGGGCGCTCTTGCCTTTTAAAATCGCCAGCCCGTTTGAGGGGCGGCGAGAGCCTGGGTGAGGTCTCGGCTGATTTTGGAGGAGAAGCAGAGCAACGGGCAACCTGGCAAGCCTCGCTCGTCCTTTCAGGAGATTTGAGCTATTGGACTTGAGCCGGATGCTGCCGAGTTAATTTTAGAAATGTTGATCCGTTAGTCCTGTGGTCTTGTCTTTTTGGGGCTGAATTCATGCAGCGTCCTAGAACTAACAGCTGCATTTTCACGGTAGTACAAAAAAACCATGTTTCAAGTATTACAAAGTCCATCTTGTGTGGCCCTCAGGTTGGTTTTAACTTGGTTTGTATTTTGTGCCTTAATATGTTAACGTACCCTGGAAACGAAGTCTGTAACCAGGTTAAACGTGAGTGCAGCCACTATCGGATACTTGGATGAATTCGCAAGGTTGTTAATTCAGGATATTTACAAGATAGCTACACTTTGTCTGAAGAGCTATTGCAAACAATCCAATTTAAACTCATCCCCCTGTACGGCACAACTACACTACCATGCACTCATGTGTTGTATGTTGTGCATATAATATGCATGTATTTCCACACTTTGTGTGTGTGCCTTGGCTTCTGGCAAATACTGAAGATAGGTCCTTGCATTTTCCATAGCAAGCTTTTTCAGAAGTGGTTGGTCATTGCCTTCCTAGCTGGTTTCTTACCTAAGGCCTAGAGAACCACCCCAGTACTTTTAACCATTATGCTGACTTTCGTTTGCACACTTGGCAAAAACAAATCTTCTGGTGAATGTATCTTTGATCAGTCTCATTGCCTTCTGACACAGATACATTTACTAACAGCAAAATTCTGTAGTTTTCCATTATCAATTGTTTTCTGGTAATTTAGGATCTCTTGAAAGGAAGGTGGGCCACCAAGGTTATCAGAGTTGCACTGGTATTTAATTTGAGGTATTAAACTTGTAGAACTTCAATTGTGCCAGGAAAAAACCCACAGGATCTCCACAAATGGATTTTTCATCTTTTTATAAATACAAATTTGTATCTCAAAACCATTCTAGCATTCAGTAGTGTTCTTTTTTTATCCTGCTTCTTGCTCTCAACAGTCAGAATTTATATATAGGTAGTCCCTGATGTATGTCCACAACTGAGTCCAAAATTTCTGTTGCTGAGACAGTTGTTAAAGTGAGTTTTGCCCCATTTTATGATCTCTCTTGACACAGTTGCTAAGTAAATCACTGGAGTTGTTAAGCTAGTAACACTTGTTACCTGAATCTGGCTTCCCCATTGATTGTGCTTGTTAAAAGGTCACAAAAGGTGATCGCATGACCCGGGACACTGCAGTCAACATAAATATGAACCAGTTGCCAAGCATCTGAATTTTGATTATGTGACCATGGAGATGCAACAGTTATAGGTATGAAAAATGGTTGTAAGTCATTTTTCAGTGCTATTATAACTTCAGTCACTAAATGAATGGTTGTAAGTCGAGGACTACCTATATTTTAGATACTACTACCATAGAGGTAAAATTATCATCTGAAATAAAAATTGAGTTGAATTTGGTAACAAATAGGGTAAGACACCTCACTATTACTCCAGATATAATCTTCATTCACAATGACTTCATTCACAATGAATCTGTAGCAGCAAACCCACAAAAGTTGTGTATTATAAAAACTTATTAGGACATAAGCTTTCATGAATTGAAGATGCTGTTCAGAGGCATGAAACATAAATCTTCAACTGGTAAACACATGAAGCACCCTTTGGAATGGACTATAAAGAACAAAAGCGGCTGTAATAATTTTTCCTAACAATACCATCTTGGCTTTCAAACGGAAGCCAAATATTTTCTCAACAATTTAAAGCCAATTTAAACCTTTCAGGAAATTTCTGCTAAAAAAGAGACATCAAATATCTAAAAATGTTTATTGATACTTAAATGGATGGAATGATAGTGCAAAGAAAGATGTGCAACTGAGGGCATCATTCTTCACGCAACTTCACAGTTTAGTCATTTAAATATGTAAAATGTGTGAAGTAATAAATAGATGTCAGGAGAAAAACATTCTCTACTTGTATACAGAATGTAACCAAGTCAACATTTTAGGCTTTCCATGCCCATTTTCTTTTAAGAGTATCTACCCAAATAAGTTACCCAGAAATTTCACATAAAATACAAGTTCTGAGCAAATTAAAACACCCAAATCAGGCATAAAGTGGAACCCATGGGTTTCCATAAAGACAGAATAGTGAATCTTAGACTGGCATGCTTCTAATCCTCCTTTGATACAAAAGGTTTAAAGCTTCCTTTTACTACTAACACTTTTCCTAAACTGTCCCAATATGGAAAATATTTTTTCCCAATCCAAATAGGGTACCAGCAGGTCAGGATTAAACTACACATTTAAATATAAGAGGAAATTAGAAGTCATTCTTCTCACTATATGCAAAGGAGGACAGAAGTCATACCAGCCTCAAGTATGCTGCAATCTTCTTTCATTAAATTTTGTTTTTCTAGTACATTTGACTGCAATATGTGCAGACTGCCTAGGAAGGAAATTGGTACTCCCAACAAGAAATCTTTTGGACAGACATATTTACCAAAATCCTAAAAGAAAAGATGCATAACCTTCTATTATCTTTCCATTTCAGACTCTCTGGAAACTTTTTACTGCTATAGTATTTAATGCACATGCTAGTGGTACAAAGTTGGGAAGAGACAGTAGGATGGGCCATTTCCAATGACACCTTCATTAAAAAAACATCTGGACATATTATTAAGCAATTGATAGTCACCACAAAAATGAAGCAGAGAGAAATAGGATTTTAAATACAAATACCTTCAGACTAATCATTACCAAATGAGTTTCTGAAAAGAACTAGCTTCAATATGTCTCATAGTAGCTATGCTATGTTTGGGAAAATTGAGATGTTCTCTCTTCCCAAGTTGAAAAACTCTTCTTTGTCTGCTACAGAAAGTCCTATTTTTTTGTCCAGCCCACTGGGCTACACTCAAAGCAGCTTCCAGACATATACAACAGAAATCAGGAATTGCTGTTTCAAACAACTTTGGCGGTTTCCTAAAGGGTGATGCACATTGCTTGGGATTTTGTACTTAGGAGTTATTCTTATATGAGTCACTTATAAAAGCAGTACACATTAAAAAAGAGTTAGATCTGTAGTGCTTAACGGCAATTAATAAGCTACTCTAGATGACTGATCACATCCTTCAATACTTGGGACAGGAATATTTGGGAAAACAAAACGAAGCCCTCCACAAGTTTAGTTACATAAAATAAATTAACATGTACTGTCTTCATGGTTCACTAAATCCAAGAACTAGTTATCTTCATGTTAGTTTTTATATTATAATTACTAATGGAAAATCAGTTCACCTCAATCTCCTCATTTCTTAAGCTTGTCTCATGGCAGAAATATTGTGTATCTAATTCCACAGAGATACTTCATTTTTGTACTTGCAAAATGATTATTACCAAGATTAAACAAGCTAAAGCCAGGCCAGAAATTAGGATGCAGATCTTCTTGCGTGATTTCTTCTGTTTAAAAACAAACAAAAAACAATAGGGTATACTGTAGAGGAAAGAGATATACAAGAGAAGCAAAATTCAGCTCCCATTTTAGGATTAGAATTGCAGTGAAAACCATCCAACATAATTTAAAAACTTGAGTAACTAGACAGTGGAATGCATTGGATAAAGCACTTTTTTTAAACTTCACTTTTTAAAAACTTCAAATAAAACAAGTTTTGAACAGCGATTGATTTGAAACTATTATTCAGACAAGAAGCATTTTATTCTGTGCAATGTTTGGGTATCTTATCAGCACTAGCACTGATGATGTTACCTAGTTTGGGTAATAGAACATCTGCAAGAAAACAACCAAGCTCAGAGAGCAACAAGGACCCCTCATTTCAACCCTGAGCTACAAATATTCTCCTCTACTTTTAAAAAGCATGCCGTATCTTGGAGGGTGGGAAGCAACAGTTAATTCTCCCAAGACTAATGCATGTGGTTAAGGCTAAACATACAGTTGGGAAAGGATCAGAGCTGAGTCAACAGAGGGGTGGCATGCAGAAGATTAGCTGCTTGTATCCTTTCATGCCTCTCAGTCTGCCCTAAGTCAGTGGTGGCGAACCTATGGCACGGGTGCCAGAGGCGGCACTCGGAGCCCTCTCTGTGGGCACATGTACCATTGCCCCAGCCTTGCCTCCTCCCGTGACCCCCTCCTCTCCAACAGCCCCCCTGGAGGAGAGTTGCCCTCGAGCGTGGCCCACACGGAGCAGCGCAGCCAAGGACATGGCAGCCAGGCAGCGTAGACAAGACTCTGCCCTCACGCCTCATCGTGCACAGTTGATGCTGCGGGGCGCGGGCAGAGGGCGTGGCCACCATGGCGCTGCTGGGCGATCTGCGGCGGGCCCTGGAGGCAGTGAGTGGCCCTGCGGGCAGGCGGGGTGGGGGCGGAGCAGGGGCAGGGCCAGTTTTTGGGCACTCGGTCTCTAAAAGGTTCGCCATCACTGCCCTAAGTTATGAACAGTTAAAGGGACTGG